TATTTTGTCTCTCATAGTTGAGGTATACCTATGATGAAAATTACAGGCCTCTCTCATCTTTTTAAGTGGGAGAACTTGCACAATTGGTGGCTGACTAAATACTTTTTTGCCCCACTGTATATGGGCATTGGGATTTTCTTTTCTTTCTTTTTTTTTAAACCTACTGACTATTAATACTAAGCCAACTAGTATTGAGATTCTGAGAAACATGAAATGTAGCTTCTGTGGAATTAGGTTATTTCATGAAAGAAAAAACATAAATTTGGGGCCTTTTATTATACTCCACCATCATATATTATCTTGTAAGTCCTTATGTAGCACTGAACCTTAGGTTCTTTCAGTCAGTCTGGACACTACAGGAAATGAGTGATTGCTTTGCTCTGCATTTGACTGTACTTCATTGTTTGCTGCTTACAGAGTGAGTTGAAGAAACATGGATCACAGTGACCTCACCTGTGATCTTCCCTCTGGTGTTTATAGGGAGAAAACATGGTTCATGAGCAGCCATTTGTCCAGAGGTATCACAGAATTTGAGCAGAAGAGTTAATATGCAAGGATGTACTCTTGAACCAATTTGTGGGCTTCTAAACAGGCCTCTTCACCCCTTGATTGAAATGATTGGTGTGCTTCCTGAGTTAACCTTCTGCACTGTTTTAATTTAGAATTCCATTTTTAATAAACTCTTATCCAAGAAGGATTTCCATCACTGAAGAAATAAGATGGAAACAATGACATCACCCAATTATTTAGAAACAGTCTTGAGCTTTGTCATCACCAGTGAACCCATAAGTTTGATCAAAATTGTCTTTTTAAGCCATTCTACAATTAAGGTAGACAATAACAACTTGATGAAAGAGACAACTAGTTTTAGTATTAATATTGTCTGTTGCTTTGAGTTCTAGCAGTTACAACTCTTTTAATAACAGGATTTTAATTGTGGTACAAAGGAACAAAGCCACACTATTCAGTGTATTTTAATTTCAGGGTGCTGTGGAAAAACAGTTCTGAACTTTTTCTGTACTATTACTGTAAGGAGGAATAAGTAAGATACACTTCTGATGCATTAGCATGTTTTAATACACAAGGAATATTGTAGTGCTAATTGCTAACATTTTAAAATAATCCTTATTCAGTAATAATAAAGTTTTTATAAATTGGAAAGAAGCCTGTTTTGCGTGTCTCCCACATTTTGTTGGCCAGTCTGTGGTAGCAAAATGACTGAGGCAAAGGGCCATGGTTGATAACCCTAGAAAAATAGTATGGTTAGGATAATGGCTCATTCTAGAGATAAACCTGCTGTCCCCGACATGGAGTCCATCATCTTTGCTTTGCCCTTCCTGTTAAATGAGATGTATCTCTCCTCTCTGCGTGTCACTCAAAGGTTGGTTAGTTTCCAGGAAGTGAGAGCTTTTAAATGAAACACCAGTTTCTGTTATCTTTTCCCACAAAGCCTAAAAGGAAGAATCTCAGTTCTTCCAGGACGGGGATTTCTTTCTTTTCTTTTTTAAAGCTCTCTGAGGGCCAGAGGAGGAAGTAATCATCCTTAAAAACCCACTCAGGGAAAGTGTACCACAGAATATTGTTCTGTTCATGAACTCATAATCTTTGCCATCATTTGACAGATGCTTATTTCTATTTCTTTGAATTAGAACTGAAAGCGAGAGAAGATAGCTTTGGGGCAATGTGTTGCTTTCAGGGTTGGAATTAAACTCTAGTTTCAAGGTAGGATGAAGACTCGCATGTCATTTGTATTTGAGAAGGTGGCTTCACTGGAGCTCAGTAACTGATATTTCTGCACGTCTAGCCATTCTCAGTGTTGGGGTCCAGAGGCATTGTTGATCAAGCAATAAGTCTTAAAGATTTGTTTTCATCTTGAAATGGATTTTATTTCTTAACACTATAACCACTTCTTGTTGCTGTTCTTCCTAGTTATTAAGCTCCTGCCTTCTCACCATCCTAGGCAGCTGATTCATGATCCAGCAAAGAAAACATGCACAGAATGTAGCACCACCTGGAATGACACCATGCTTAATGAGTATTATTAAGTGTGGTTAAGAACATGAGCTCAATAGTGTATTAGAGGCTAACAACTAAAATGTTTCTTTAGGGGTAAAATACTCTTACATTCTTGGTCCATTTGTTTTATTCTATTTAGTTTAGATCTTGCTTCAAAGAGTGATTCATTCATAAATTTGGAACAGTCTGAATAGAAGAGGATATATGTAGCTCAGGGTTAAACTCTGGAGTCCAACCAAGCTCTCTGAGCTTGGTTGTTTGCTTGCAGACGTTTCGTTAGCTGAGTAGGTAACATCATCAGTGCTAGTGGGTGTGGGGTTTGCTCCTTGTTTATATAGTAGCTTGCCCTGCCAGTGTTGGTGTGGGTGTGGTTTTCTCCTTAGTAGTTCCTTGATTAGAGATTGTTTTCTGCTTGACTGTTTGGTGTTAATTCCTGCTTATCTGGGTGTAGGCTGCTGGAAAGGATGTGTTCTGGTTTTTTGTTTCCTTCTTAGCTTTTTTATCATTTCTTTTGAATGGTGTGTAAATGTGGCTTATCTCTATGTGCCTATTGATGGCTGATTTGTCTGAATGCCAAGCTTCCAGGAATTCCCTAACGTTTTTGGATTTAGCTTGGTCTAGGATGCTCTAGGATGTTGAAACTGGCTGAGTCTGTCCATGTGTTTTGAGATTAAGGAGTTTTCGTGTCTTCTGACTGCTGGTTGGTGTTCATGGATGTGCTCTGCTAGACTTCTGCCTATCTGTCCTATTTAGTGGCTGTTACAGTCCTTACACTGTATGTTGTAGTTGACTTCTGTTTTTTCTTCTTGGGCTACTGGGTCTTTTGGTTTACTTAAGATATTTTGGAGGGCTGTAGTTGGTTTGTGTGTTACAGTGATGCTGTGTGGTTCATGATCAAGCAGAAAACAGTACCCTAATCAGGGAACTACCAAAGGAAAACGACAACCCCATCAACACTGGCAGGGCAAGCTACTGTATATAAACAAGAAGAAAACCTCACACCCACTAGCAGTGATGATGTTACCTAGTCAGGTAATGAAATGTCTGCAAGCAAACAACCAAGCTCAGAGAAC